ATAATATTGTCCTTCACTTCTATTCCAACTATTCCGGGGTGCGCAAGTCCATCACTTCGATACGAAAAACGCATTGGCGGACTGGATCAAATATCAAGTTCGTCTTCGGCCCCTTGAGATATAAAATATGCCAATTTACTCATTCTATTCAATATTATACGTATAACTCGAAAACCAATTTTTTTAGATGAATTTTGAATGATTTGTTAATTAAGAATCGCGGATTATAAGAGAGACAACAGGTGCTCTCACTCAATGATAATCTAACTTAAGAAAGAGCAAAGTGCTTTTGAGATTGTCTTCCTCACTGCTTTTCTTATTTCACTAACCTTCCAGCAATAAAGAAACGGGTTAAGCGATGAGTTTAAGTAAACTAAAGTTACTGTACTTTCCAAGACTATAAACTCCAATGAGGACAGTTCGCTTTGAGAATGAACAAGTCCTGTCGTTATACTATATGGTAGATAGCAAACGACTAAAGCCAACTGCACCCACAGTGCACTGTTCACAGCCTTTCTGTATCGAGACAAGTTCAGTGGAACTGGCTCGCCAGGATGTTGTGGGGCGTGAATTCGCCCTTGTATTTGATTTTGTCGGAGAGCACAAAAAATTTTTGTGTACGATAATGTTGCTATTATAAAACAAAGCAATACGACACCATAGTTACACCAGCCGGCTATACGGTAATTTATAAAGTGTGATATTGCAGCGCTTATCGAAAAAACCCAAAAAATGACGAGAACTACATAAGTTCGTTTTAGAGTAACAGCGTGCCTGAATCTCTGCCCCAGCAATAAGGCAAGAAGTCTGTCGACGCTTATTGCGGTCATCGTTAACAGAGAAACTAAAGAGAGTACAAAGTAGGTTAGAAAACTCGTTGTTAAGGCACAGTGGCAGAGTTTCCAATCCTCACGAACTAACGACACCCAGTAGACAACAGACGAAGGCTCTGATATAAGACCGACGCAGAGATCAGTTGTTGCCAGACAACGATACAGGAGTTTGGATGGTGGATAAAGCGAAGATTCTTTGGTTAGGGCGATCAAGATTAAAGTATTGCCAAAAAATGCCACAAAGGATAAGAAAACGTTGGTTGTTGCGATGATTATCAAATAGTCGTCTATATCACCCTTCCAGCCCGAAATACAAACTATGTTTTCCAATGTTTGGGTATGTTTCCCGACATCTTCAGATAGGTTTGCTCGTGCCATAAGTTCCACAACAAATTTTATATTAAGATGGACTTCTAAGAAAGCTTGCGAGCATCTTGAAAGATCTTGATTGGTATGTTTTCTAGATTTAAATGACAAGGCTTGCTCTTGATGATATGCAATACAGCAGTTTAGACAGCTGTGCCTTTGTGTCAAGAAATGGGTCAAATTTCGCTTCCAATTATCGAACAGACTCTTAACAAAAAAAATATGAACGTTTAGTTATGAAGGACTTGTTTTACAGTGAAACTCTAATTTTGATCACCCGTGTTTTTTATTACATGTACTTTCCTTCACCTTCACTGTAGTAAACTGTAAGAACATGATCAAGAACGCCTTCCAATTCAATTCAGGAAAAAAGCTGTTAGAACTATGAATGCGAATGGTTCATTTAAATTAAAGGTGGGTTAATTTAAATCCACCGATTGTTTTGTGGGCATTTCATAAGCTTAATTGTTCAGAACAGATAATTAATGCCCATTTTCTCGCGTTCTTTGGAAGGTCTAAGAGATATCTTTGTTGTAGTAAGATGTTAACCTCATCATTTAAAACTTGTTTTGTTGCGCATTCTATCCAAAAGTTTTATGATGGCCTTTTTTTAGACTGCAAGTACGTGATTGGGTAGAGATATCAAAGGTACAAAGGGGATTCAGATTGATTCACAAAACATCTACACTGCCTTGAAGAGCTGTAGAGTAATGATTTCCAATTATATCAGAACATAAGTTATGCTTTATGGTAGTACAAAATGAAAACTCATTTGAAATCCAAACCACAGCGTCTACGTATCTATAACGCGTAGTATAATTTGCGAAATGAAAAACTGTAATTTGCGAGATAGAAATCTATAACTTGCGAAATGAATGTGTAATTTACCACAAAGGAAATCTGTAATTTGCATAATGGATTTATAATTTGCGAAACTGAGAATCCGTGCGGAAACATCACCTGCCGGAAGGATGAATCGATCAATTGGTTTCGCAAATAGCAGCAAGCTGTCTACATTCATAGCTTTGCCGATCAAATGGCGATGGCGGTTCTACGAGCCGAAAGAAATTTCACAAGCCATCTAAGCTTGATGTTTTGCACAACGTAAAGTGATATGCACTGAAAGTTCATTATGTTGAATACATTGTTTGCAGATATACTTTGCAGTTTTGTATTTCTACAATGTGAGGTTTTGTCATTTATTTGCTGATGAAGAGATTTCCTATGGACCAGTACATCTTGAATTCCATTTTTTTGGGCGAAAACTGCTTCAATTAGCGAAAGGAACTTAAATTCTCAAATACCATCATCAACCCTACAGTAAATTCATTAGCCCTTATACTGCCACAAACAGTCGGGCGCTCAAGACCAAAACATGTTGAGATTCTTACAACCCGACCATGATTCACAGCGTCAATATGCAACCTCCGTTTAACTTAAAAGCAATTTTGAAACGGTCATATCAGTATTATTTTTCTTCATCTGATTTGGCGGTAATAAATCTCCGTTAGGGCACACCTAAAGTGCCGTGCGTCCGGGGAAGAGTTTGAGGGTAAATATCAAGTTTCCAAGCAAGTTTATTATTTTTAATTTGGATATATTAACAAAATTGAAATGGTAAATTGGCCACCGTAACGATTACAAAAGCTGACGTTTCAAGCTTCAGCCCTTCGTCGGAGCGAAGGGCTAACGCACGAAACGTCAGCTTTTGTAATCGTTACGGTGGCCAATTTACCACTTCAACTTTGTTGATATATCCAAATTATTTCGTTACCCCCACCGACGCAGCCCCAAACAGTTTCTTTAGAAACTATCAGCCCTTATTTAATTTACCTTTTTTCTTTTTGCAAAACACCCGGGGGTGGGGAGGGGGGTTGGGTGAACTATAGACTCCATCAACAACCTCTTCTCAGCAGTTTTTTTGTACTTAAATTACTAGCAGACTGCTAAGGGTGATAAATCGTTCAGGAATGACATTCAAGTGGGATGATGTGGATGATCTTTGATCAGATTCGATTGCTCTACTTTAGCGTATGCATCGGCACCATGAGGTTAAAAATACTTCTTTCTTCTTTTCCTTTCAAACCATCAAAATAAAACGACTTCTTCATTTTACTGCCTTGCTACATGCTTTAACAATTAAGAGGAGAAAAATCAGGAGGAGGATGGGGGAAATCGGATAGAAGTGTCTCGTTAATATGTCATCGTCCTTTGTTAGGTAATACATTGGGATACCGTGGCGGGAAATTCAAGCATAATGAAAGCATAATGAAGCATAATGAAACCGCTGCAATTAGAGACGAATTCGGTAAAGTTGACTAAAACAGTCATTATGGAGCTTAAGCAACCACGACGAAAAGGACGACGACGACGTCAAGTAATCGCGAAGGATCTAGAACGAGGACCTCGTTTTTAGCGGAAAAATGAAACTTAAGCAGTGAAGCTGCTTAAGGACGACGACATCTGAAATCTTTTTTATTCTCGCTTGGTCAGTTTAAGAAATGACATCGTTCAGAAACGTCCAAAACCTTCTTCTTCTCGATCATGGATCAAATTTCCACCTATATATCGAAAGTTCGATACAGGTTATTCAATTCTTGAACATCAACAGTCCAAGGAAATATTAAGCTTTTGCTTTATTTACAATAATTTACGCATGGCAAAAGTTAAAAATATTAAATTTTAGGGAAGTTATTTGAGATTTAAATTCAGTTCCGAAGTGTTGCTGATATAAACAAACCCAATTTGCACAAGGTTTGCCTGATTTTCAAGGTTTGCCTGATTTTCAAGGTTTGCCTGATTTTCAAGGTTTGCCTGATTTTCAAGGTTTGCCTGATTTTCAAGGTTTGCCTGATTTTCCTGACATGTTCTACCTTTGATGCTCCTTCCTTTGGCGAGCAAACGACGTAAGTCTGTCAATTTAATCAATGCTAGCTAGCGATCGGCACAGATAGCAGTCTTCGCGCTTCACACAAGAATGCTATTTTTTCCCGTGGGATCTTGGCGGAATAATTTTTATGGCTCTAAATCTATATCAAACATTTCGAAAATAGATTCGCAAAACCTGACAGGTATTCAAGCTTATGTTAACACACCGATCTGAAGAATTCGATAAATCGATTGAAGAGCAACAAGCAAATTTTTTTTGTAGCAATAATCCGGCAGTTCTATACACACAGCTTTTGACCAAACGCAGAGGTGTATTGGACTGCCATTTAAAACTTTTCATTCAATAAAAATGATAAACAGTACTCTTTCGTAAAATATACTCAAATAAATTTAAACCTTACGTGGTCGCTTTCACCGCTTAACTTGACATCTGTTGTGCGGAGGAAGAAAAATGAGTTAGTGGGTTTTAGAATCTAATCTGTTTAGAAAACCGAACAGGGAGGCTTAAATCAACCGAAAAAGCGAATACAAACTCCAACCGGCCATAGACTGTCAAAAAGACGACAATAAACCCGCACCTTTCGATGAGAATAACTGCTTTGAAGTTCGGAAGTTCACGACGACGTAAAACAGGTACTTCTCAAGTCGTCGAGGATAAGACGACGACGGAATTCTTGGTTCGCGCTTGCGCAGTGATGTTCATGCTACTTCCGGTCGTCGTCCTCCGTTCGTCGTCGTGGTTGCTTAAGCTCCCTATCATGGGGGTGGGGAGGGAGGGGGTTAAAGTAGCGTTTGGTTAATAAATCGTCATTCTTTGATGGGTGATTCAGTTCTAAAGAAATAAAAACCATCAGACTAAGCTCTCTTTATTAAGCTTTATTGTAATTTACGAAAAAGGTGTGACATCTTCCTTTCCTCCGCTTTTCTCAAAGTCGCGGATACTACCAATTTAAATTTGTGACTCAGAGCCCAAAATTTGTCGTTGCTATGTACTTTATTTTCAGACTGAAAAATAGTGCCGTTTCACACAAACGATGATATTGATTATCCAGCCAATGGATCACATAATTCTGATTTTCATGAAATAGACAATAATACAGACGTTGAAAGAGGATTAACCTTTTAGATATCCCTATTGACCCTTATCAAATTTTATAGAGCTTTAGGATAGCAAGATACTCTGAGACTAAAAGCACAGAATGATTTTTCTGCTTGGTGCCTTGTCCAGTCAGAAAGAAATAGAAAAGGAACGTCTAATACATGTTTACTACTCGGTGTCCGTTGACAATGGTTCATTTTTCAGGCGAGTTTGTCTTCATCAATGTTGAAATATTTATTATTATTTTTTTAATCATTGGGCGAAAATGTATCCCATCGCTTTGATATTTTTCTTACCGTTATCGGGATACCAATGAGCTGAGTTTCCACACGTGTTGGAGTCATTAGTTGCACGCGCTCCACCAAATCCAATTCTTGAATTATATTTGCCACAGCCATTACAACACTCATTACAAACGATACCGATTCTTGTTTTTGCACCATTACCGTCAGAATTGAAGCCTTCTATGTCACAGCAGAACTGCAAGGAAGCTTGCGGGCCAATCAGCGTCTTCCAGGTGTCACGACCTAGTGAGGTGGCGCGGTAGTTTCCATCAGCAATTAGTGAATATAAAGAGTCAGCCTTTATATGAATGGCAGTGAAGTTGAGCTGTTCATTAACTTTCATGGCGAGACAAAGCTTAGAGAAAGGTGTACTCCAATAAGTCGGTAACTTGGTCTCTTGCGAGTCAAACCCACTCTTGCCTCCTGGTAAGTTGAAATAATTTTTGTCGCTCCAATACTTGGAATCATAATGGAAGGTTCTCTGGAATAATAACCACGTCATTTTAACCATTTGAAAAACATATTCCAAATTTGATTAGAATTAATGACAGTCACGTATCTCCTCTTTGAGTTTGACATTTTTGATATCCCGTGATATTTTAAGTGGTTTGACCCCAGTTTTCGATTTGTAGGAAAACAAGGCAAGATAATCATATATGAATTTCACAATTGTCGTATGGAGGAATTTGGCAGGACTTCTTACTCTTGAGCCTTTGTACAGTAAAATGGAAGCGTTTACTTCTCTTATCGTTGCAAGTCATGATCACAAAGTCATGGGTCACCAATATAGACGAGTTTTAAACTTCCATAAATAAAAGATTCAGGCAGGAAACCTTATATGACTTATGTTTCAACAAAACCCCTTGGACTTAAAACCGACCTGAGTTTCTTTACTCATAAAATTCGCACAAAATATAACTTCAGCAGTTTATGCGTCATGATTTTTATTTCTTGGTTTGAAACTCCTAAGTCAAGCTATCTGGAATGCCAATAGCACACTTTAAACAGATTCCATCTTACATGTAACTTCCCTTCGACTTGATGATTCCATGAAACTTAGATGCATGCCATTTTGAGAAAAAATCTATTTCTAAACCCAGTTAAAGAGGTAACAAGTCATCAGCGTTTGGACACTGAGTTTTACATTACCTTAGTGCCATCTATTTTCATAACCAGCGTCCATCCCCCACCCCCGCATGCTCCAAGACTGGTCATGTGACAGTACACTGGAAGTGACGCTGATCCCACTTTCAAGGAATAGGCTCGGTTACCTTCGGACCTGAACAACAAGAGCAGAAAATTAGGTATTTAGGTAAGTAAGATCAAGTTGGGGAACCTTGCAAAGAGAAACTTCTTTGTTCAAAAAGCGACTAAAGTAGTTCACACCAGGATTAGCTAAGATGATTAAGTCTCAATTTGGGCATTGACGGGAATTTCAGATGCGACTATATTTGCAGGTTGTATCTTTACCACAGTATTTCGAAACAATGAAGGATAGTGTTTGTCTTCTAGATGCTATACAAATCGTTCCTCGTACCCAGTAGGATAATTCATTAGAGAGGCCAAGTATACTTTCGTTCTTCACTGATGGATTTGGTTGAGGTTATTCCCTGGTTGCCATTTAAGGAGGACCGATTTGT